CTGTAACCCCACGAGCACCATCGCTATTCAGCTGTACAGGCTACATGCCACGGTCCTCCTCCCTCCCTTGTCCCAGCTTCCACAGTATCTGTAGCGTACGCAACTCATTCGGCCTTTCATCCCTCCCCCTCTCCTCTGAACAACACTGGCAGCGGCACCGCTCGGACAGCGGCAACCCGAAACCCAGTTTCAAGGACGATGGACGGACGTTCGAGCTGCTAGTAGGCACGAATTGACAAGGCTGAGAGCGCGGGCAGTCGAGGCAAGGTCCCCTGGGAGCGAGCGCGCAGCAGTCCCGCGCTCTCTCTGTAACCCCTCTACATCGCGCAGGCTCGTGTAATCAGAATTAATCGGGCCTCAATGAGGAGCGAGCGAGAGGCTCTCCTTCATTAGACGGTCGTGAGTGGGGGGTGGGCGCGTCGCTTGGTGCTCTCCACATTCCCGCGGACGTCCGACTTCGACGGGACACTGTGATAGGATATGGTGGAGTATGGAATGGAGGACGGGGTGGTGTCAGGGGGGGAGGTAGATGAAAAAGAAGGTGTAAGCATGAACTAAAACGTTCAGCTCACAATTGCAACACTGAGGTGGCCAAAAAGGCAGAAACAGAACAACGCCATGTTGGGTGAAGAGAGGGAAGAGACGCGCAACCAGGAAGGGGCACAATACACGACAAGCGGCTCTGGAAATACAACAACCAAGCATAGGAAATAGTGACCAGAATTAGAGGTGAGGAAAATTAAATGCATAAGATGCATGGAATGTAGAAATTCGTGAAAAGAAGAATAAGAGCACATAGAGGGCAGCGCAAAAACGAACAAATGAGAGGTACCAGTTGAGAGAGCGAAGTAGAATACGCGCTAGAGAAAGAGAGAAAGTGCCTTGAGAAGTAGCGACAAGGTGACGGGAAACGAGAGAAGTGGGTGACGGTATAGGAGAGAGACACATGCGAAATAGTAAGAGGACGCGTTCTCCAAGTCGTAACATCGACGAGAACTTGATACCCTTTCCGTATGCATGCACTGAAAAAAGATAACAATCATATAAACTGGGAAGAAAATAGCAGCACTTTGAAGTTAATACGACAGACAACGAGCAGGAATACAATTAAATGTACTATTTCCTGTATTTACTATACCAGGTCTGAAAATTTGGCACTGGGGCCAGGGACTGGGCGAAATAGTGGCCTCAATAAATCATAGTACAGGTGACACGCTGAGATTGCCAAAGGATCATTATTTAAAATCAAGAGCTTATCAATAAGCAACCAGGAGTTGCTGTCTTCTTGCTCATAATAAGAAGTAAGAATCAATCATGTAAGTTTAAACCATTTTACTTTCACCTTTCATGAACTCAAAAAACAGAAACCGTAAGCGACACAGGAACCCTAGGCAGGTATGAATACACACAGAGCTCAATGGCGGACAATGATTCAGCTAGGTTATAAGGAAACAACTGCGGACAATCATGTGCTGTTACAGATAATGGTTAACACAATTATAGCGTAACAGCAGCTGTGAAGCCTAGACAAGAGGTGCAACCATCGGGGTGAGTGATAAGATTGGCATGTTACTTCCCTGCTTGGAAGGCAGGAAACAAAACTTTTTTCACGGAGCCTAATTCGTTTCGAAGCTGTGGGAAAAAATACTCTTGTCAAGAGTTTACGGAGCTATTTTGAGCCCACGGAGCGTTAGTCAGAGGTGTTGAGAAGAGCTCACAGCTCAATCGCTAGCCGTGATTAACCACTGTTGAAAGGAAGGGCAAAAGAAGGTCAGACTGATTATATACAGAGCGGTTACCTCATGGAGAAGAGGAGTAGCGAAGTGCAGAATAAGACCGGTGTAGGGCAGTGAGTATCCAGCCTGGGCCACAGGAGGCAAGAGAGCCGACGAGTTTCATCCTCGACGGACAAATTGCGTTAGAAGGCAAGCTGCTGGTCAAGAAGAGATGACACTCGATTGTTACGACCAAAGACCTGCCAACAGGCAACATAGAACGACGTACACTAGCGATAATAGAAAGATTGGCAAGGGTCTAAATGGGCATCTATGTGACTACTGCGATGAAAGCCTATATATCATATGTGCCCACGCCACATGTAATAATGGAGATACAAACCTACTTTTACGTGTTTCTTCCCCTAATTGAATAAATAGCTGAGAAAATGAATACATCATACTTAAGCATGCACACTTGTTATCTTGCCTACGTTCGAAAATCAGATTTAGCAAGAAGAACGGTTACAAGATAGAAAGAGTGATGAGAGAGCGAGTAAGGGGAGGCAGATCAGGAAAAAAAAAAACTAGAGAATGGCAAGAAAACACAAAGCCCCCGCCCCCCCACATTACTCCCCCGCGCACTCGTCCCACCACGTACTCTCACTCGGGACATCCGCTGTGTATAATCCAACCTCAAGAAAAACAGGTCCGCGCTCGCATACCGAAACACGCGTACGCTCATCCTCACAAGTGCGGGCTCCACCTGGTGAGGCGGCGCATCCAAGTAGACACTCGTCGTCTGCATCGTTCGGCCGGGATTCTGCGTTCATTCCATCTCCTGCCTCCTCGCGTCAGCGAGATACATAGAATCTCTCTCAACACACTATGTCATCGCTCCATGTGCGCCAGGGAAAAAAGAAACTTTATATCTTCAAAAGCGGGGAGCTCTTTCTCAGTCTGTGGGAAAAAATAGGGCTCTCCGTCAAAAATTTTACGGGAGCTATTTTGAGCCCAGCGGGAGCGATTTCGAGGTTGAAACGATCAAATCGGCTCAGGTGAACGATGAACCGGGGAGTGGGAGTGTATATGGATTTACCCCTGGAGCGCGCGGTGCACGACAAGGTCACAATACGAGGAGCAATGCGGTCGCGTACACATACAGCGCCCTCTAGGTGACTGTCACTGTCACTGTCAAGCCGGGGCAGCACAACTATCGGTCGATGTGACATAAGGTGCGATTTGAAAAAATTCCCGACCCTGACCTCGCGCTAGTTGAATGATCGCAGATTACAATGTGACAGATGCTAATTCACTCGATTTGATTTGAATCGTAAATTTGATCAATTCGATATCACAAACTCTTATTTGTCGTATAAAAAAGGAGAACCATCCAGGACTTATTAAAAAACTTATATATGAGCGTTTATGAGAGAAAAATTAACTCAATGAAATAGAAATAGAATTGCGGACAAATAACGGTCAGAGGCAGGGGCCCGTTGACTGGAAAACATGCAAATAGTTATCAGACCTATCGATCTGAGGGACAAATAACATAATGGTTTGTCAAAACCTTTAGAAGCAACAAATCGTTAAGATTTAAAAATATTTATGTTTCTATTTTTTTATTCAGTTAAAAAACAGGACGTTTTTGACCATAATCATATGATATTGTATTTACCACGATCCAAATTAGGTTCCGTACAAGGCAAACATGCCCCGAGCGTTGCTACGACCGGGGTGAGGCACACCCAAGAGACATCTAAGCGGGCTGATAGGTCGGACCGCTCGTCACGCGCAACCCGCTCACGCAACTTCAGAAGAAACATCGGATGTGGGCGCTTCTGCGCGGCGCACACTTCTTGTCGTTCAGAGGATTACGACAGGAGAAGCGGAGGAGAGATAGGCCCCCTTCATCAGGTATCACATAGATCCATAGAAGCCGGGGGCCCCCCCCCCACAACAAGGGCCCCACATAAGTGGTAACCGTCATATCGGTGCAAGGTTGGTCAGATAAAAGAGAAATAATGACAAAGACAGGTCTCTGCTCACAGCACAGCACGTCCGAAGGAGAAACTGTCCTATGACCATGTGGCCACAGCTGACTACTACAGCCAAAGGCAGGGGAGCCCTTCTCCGGCCGACGATGCCCATGCCGCCTGGTGGACGGCCGAGACTGAGCAGGTCAGCGCACTTGATCTCAGCCACAGCCCTGCGAACAAGCGCAAGCAAAATCAAGCAACATGAGTAAACATCAAGCAACATCGAGCAACGTCGACAGCAACATCAGCAATGCCAGCAACGTCCCAGCCAACCATCAGCAACATCGAGGCAATGCACAGCACGTGCAGGCAACATCTAGCAACATCAAGCAATGCCAAGCAACGTCCAGCAACATTGAGCAACGTCCAGCAACGTCCAGCAACATCGAGCAACGTTCAGCAACACCAAGCAACGTCCAGCAACGTCAAGCAACGTCGAGCAACATCACGATCGCATTGTGATTCTCGTCAGGCCAGGCATCGCATTTTAGTTTTCATCGTAAATCTTGGATGGCAGCACAAGACGTTGGAACGAATGGAAATATTTCTTTCGAAGAAGGGTTATCAGGGCCACCTTTTAATGGGATATTTGACACGAGGAAGAGAGGGATACATACGCTTTTAGATTTAAGGGGATTGGCACAAAGGCAAAGGAGGTAGTCCAGGGGCAGGGGTGAAGTTTCAGGGACAACCATGGTGAGTGAGCAAGGCAACCATGACAATTGCTGTTGCTGCCGTGGCGTAATACAAATAACCTACCACAAAAATGCTTGGCTAGCTGCCTGTCAATCAATGGTAACATCAACAGGTAAGAATTAAAGGTAGGTCATTAGTAGTTTGTACCTGTACAGCATCAAACCAGTGGTCAGGCTCCAGGCTGTGGTCGTAACGGTAGTAGCTACGCGGTTTATCGATGACGTGCTCCTTCAGCGATGCCGTGTGTCGCTCCAAATCCTCGTCCTTGAAACCCGTGCCAATCTGAAGTGACCCAATGGTAATGCGAAAGTCAGTGTAGTGTCATCCCAAGGTCAAGGTCAAGGTCACGTGGTGATGCACTGGTGTTGATGTTAGGGAGGTGCAAGGACAAACAAGTTTTTAGAGCCACAGTTAGCATTAAGGAGCGAGGGTAGAATCAGAGAGGACGTTTATATATAGAGTAAAATAAAAGATGAGTAAACATGTCATAGGGTTAATCGGATGCAAAGCTAATTTACTAATCAGGAATTTTGTTATTACTAGAAAATACACTTACTATATACGAATAATTGGCATCATCATTACACTTATTTCTTACCCTTTTACAAGAAGGCCAAAAATAAAAGGAACAACAAGAAGGTGGTAGAATAAATATAAACACAGAGCAATGTCAGGAAACCTACTTCTCATATTTTCACCCGTACACGAAATCACAAGGCCACAATTAAAAAAATTGTTGCCCTTATTAAAATTGTTGCCCAATTAAAAACAAGCCAACAATGCTTTGTTTGCCCTCACCCGACCCAGGCTGAAAAGTTTGGGTAGATAGGTCAGCTTTTTTTTTTGAGGGCGGGGGTCTTTTTACAAATTCAGCATGGTGTCCACATGCTCGGGTGTGCTTGGGTGGAGATACATTTAATGTTGAGTGTTTCTTTTGCTTGGTACATATAATGTATTGCCTACAGATTTATATAATGTAGAGTGATACAATTTATATTTAAAAAAAAAAACCTACAGATTTATATAATGTAGAGTGATACAATTTATATTTAAAAAAAAAAAAAATAGTTTTGAGTCGGCCCCTTTTTGGCGGGTCGGTCGAGTGAGGGCAAACAAGCAATATTTTTATTAAGTCTCAAACTCAAGAGAACAAGTGGTGCATAATCGTCTGCCCCACCTTGCATATCGTCTGGAACTCTTCCTCCTGCTCGTCGTAAGCAGCGAGAAGAAATCCGCCGTACTGCCCCGTCCGCTTGCCCTTGCCGTGGTATCCACCAATCACGACGACGTCCAGCGTGTCACCAACGCCCTCTAGGTAGTCCTTCTTAACCTGCGAGACGGAAAGCGCGAGGGAGGGATGAGAAATACATATATATATATATTGTATAAGCCGTAATTTTTCGCGTACAGATATTTTCGCGAATTCAGACTTGACGGT